GCTTTATAGTCGAACTAATCAATCTTTAGACAAAATTATAATGAACACAGAAGTAATTTTAACATAAATATTTTACGGAATCCGTTCCTGAAATATACAAATAATAACATACCAAAAGCCCGAAAAAAATCTAATCTTGGGAACATTGTTCATTATAAAGATATTTAATGGGTTAAAATCAAACGCTTTATTGCACAACTGCTCTGCTGGAGGCGTATAAATGCGTCGTTGCCAAGTTGTTGCTATCGAAAAAATGTGAATTATAGGGTAATACGCCCGCGTGCGATCCAAAAGCGGGGAACACATGGGTTTGTCGCGTCAAAGGGATCTGTTGCCGAGTGATCTCCTTCTCAATAATACCTCCATAGTTACACATGTGAAATATACTGGAAGGGATTGAAACCCTTCCCACTGCGCTAAACCGCTTCTACAAATTTTACAGTGTACTCAAAAACATGTATTAATATATATTCAGTTCAGTTAAGAACTTAATGGGCATAGGCAGTTTACTTTATGGCTTAACATGTAATCATCATTTAAAGCTAAAGAGTAAATACTGTATTCTGCAGTAGAATTTACTGTATGACCGTTAGACCAAAAAGAAAAAAAAAAAAAAAAGTGTGTTGGCCACGTTTTGGGAAAATCCAAAACTTTTTTTTCCCTTTAACAACCAAAAATTTTAGATTCGTATTGCATACCATCCAGCAAAGTTGGCTAGGCCTTCGCCACCTAGCCTGGCCAAGGCTATTCCAGTCAAGGAAAAAAAAGCGAAAATGCTGACCCTGAATTTCGTAAAATTTGGGCCAATTGGGCGTGGCCAACACAATATTTTTTTTTTTATTTGGCCTTATTGATTGATTCTCCAGAGTAAATTAAATTTGTAATTTCAACCTGAAAGATTTTATGCAGAAAGCGATTAGTCACTGACAGCTTGACCCTGTAGTAGGATAGTTCATGCAATGACAATGGGGCGTTAAGTTCCCGGTTGGACAGACCAGTTTTGTTGGCTTGCTAAGAAAAAAATTGCGAGTTATATTTTCTAAAAGAACTTTAAAATAGTATGCGTCCTAGCTGACCTCTAAGTGGAAAATGTCATACTGTATGCTGTTTGACAGCTTTAAATACTAGTTAAACTGGCAAATCTTTTGACCTGTTCCGGACTATACTAAAAGAAAAGTATGTTCATATTGTACCTAACATTTATTATTATACAAACTCAACTTTATTTTAATGGGAACTTACTGATACTGTAATACAAAAAGATGGTTTGTCAATCTCTGTACTAAGTAACTTAATAAGAGAAAAAAAACCTCATAAATAAATCATTATGATCACTGAATTTGTGTTTGAATGCCATATTTGTTCTAACAGGTTCTTTGATGTAGTTCAGCAGATTGCTAAACAAAGTGCATGTAGATAATGTAAAGACTTTTAACACTGCCAGTATTGTAACTGTTGATACACTTGGTAAGGTAGTGTGGATCCTCAATACAATGCCCTGTTTTAGTGGTTGTTGGTTGATGTCATCAGACTTTCAAAAGGATGTTGATTGGCTGATTCCCAACTGCTGCTTCACAATAGATTATGACAATGACTTTTAGCCAGTGTTGTGATATGCAGTTTTAATTCAGGGGAAAACTTTCAGGTTTTTTTTTCTTGAGTTCCTTTTGTACTATTTTTAACAAAACGTGACTGATAATTTTTTTTCCTTTTCATGATTATTTAGTGTTTTTTTTTTAAATATTCCCTCTGATTTTTGCAACAAAAAAAAAGAAAAGAAAAACCAAAGTAATTCAGGAAGAGAAAACTAATACAAAGAAAGATCGCATTTTAAACTTTTTGATTTTCCCAACTCCCCAGTATTGTGATTGCGGTAAAAGTGTCCCAATTTAATGACTCATCCATATTTTTACTGTTGTTTAGTTAATATTTACAGTACATCTATTTCTTTTATTCCTTTGGCTTTAATTTTATGGAATTAATTGGATTTTTTAAATTTTTGTAAATTTAAGCATGGAGATTATATCATTTATAGCTCCCCAGAGATTATGTGCGCAGTGCCCTATACCCAAATGTTGCTTTCTCCAAGAGGACATTCTTTTTTTCCCCATAATTTTCAGTGGCAGATCCAGGAATTTGAAATAGGGGTCTAATAGGGTCTAATACCACTTCAGCCCCAACATGATTGAGGCTGAGGTATTAACACACTTAAGATTATGGCACATCAAGATGGCTGGAAATGGCACTTTCAGACTTTAAATTTGAATATAGTTTTCTTGTTTTTCAATTTTTTAAATAATTTGAAAAATTTAGGGGAAGGGGACCCAGGCCAGCAGGGTAGCCCTTGAATCCACCATCAATCAATGCGAGTATAAAACATACTTTAGGGGAGGGCTCAGTAGTGAATGTACTCCTAAAATGACAACAATCATGATTTAATTATGTACTCTTGGAAAGGGGTCGCAAGAGTTTTTTGTACTCTTACATAAGACGAGTGGCTGAGCGGTAAGGCAGGGGCGCCGCTAGCTACAACCTTAACATCGGCGCAGGTTCCAGCCGCTCCTCGCCCATGGTTCGGTTGGTAGAACCAAGTCTTCTCGGATAAGGACTTAAAAATGGAGGTCCAGTGTATACATCTGGCTCGTGTGCACTTTAAAGAACCCATTTCATCTTTTGGATGAGTAGGGGGTTACCCTAATGTTATGGTTCATTTCAGCCCCTGTCGTTGTGGAATGATGTGAACATGTATCTACCATGAAGCGCCTCTTTATGGCTGCTAGGTAGTCATGGACCACGTCCATACGCAATTCAGCACGATGACGCTGCAAGTTATGGGTTATTCTTCTACCTTTACCTATAACAAAAGCACTGTTACAAAACCAAAATATATGAAGGCCATTTCCTGCTTGACAAAAAGATTAAAACTTGGTTTTTCAAAGGTTGTACTACCTGTGGTAAAATCTAGACCAAATTCAATTGAATTGGTAATAATAAAGATAAATAACTTTGAATGAGGCAGATTGCCAGAGGTTATGTAGGAAGACTCTTTGGAAATTGATAGTGAGAAAATCCAAGACTTTTGAAATGTTTGGGACCTGTGCAAATATTTTATATGGGTCCGTTAATTTGCGAGAAAAATATTTTGTTGTTCTATAAAGCTTGCTATGCCAAAACCAGCATCAGTGACCAAGACAAGAAAATTTACGTTTTTAATATCGTAAAATCTCGAATTGAAGTCCTGGGCTTCTTTTTTTTTGGGGGGGGGCTTCTTTTCGTGGCTAATTAAAGAGGGGGGCTTCAATTCGAGATGGGCTTCAATTCAAGGTTTTAAGGTATATTTATAATCTCCCCATTATTAGGGGTAATGTACTAGAATTGACTATTGCCAAAGTTAAGAGTATTACGGCTACTCTGTACCAAAATATACAATACTGGCACATTCTATGCTAATTACTCAGTTTAACATGTAGCAACAGTACACTGGTTTTGGGATGACAAGCCTCATATAGTTTACAGAAAGGTATACTGCCACCAAAATAAAATACAAATAGGCCAATTGACAGACGTTTACAAAATAAATTAAATTTTGGGATAGAAAAACAATTGTTGAAAATTGGTTTCTTTTTTATGTTAATAACAATGTACTGTAGTTATTTTAATGAGCATTACCACATAGGCTTTTTTCCCTCAACCCTCATTGGGACCTACTGTATTGTAAGGGCCCAATTGTCCTCTGCCACAAATGTCTTCCCCATGTCAGACAGCTTTCTCCAAACCCTGATAACCCACTGTTAGTGTTACTGTGCCTGAATTTTGAAAGTGTAAATACTTACTGTATGTGGTAAGTTTTTTTTTTGTAGTTTTGAAGCCTTCCTAAGGTTTCCATTTAGACCATCAAAATGTAGGCACTGTAGGGTTATGTCAATTTATTTTTGCAATATTAGCACGACTTTTAACTTTGAAGTCAGACTCCAGATATGTTGTAGAACTGATTTTTCTAAGACAGAAAAAAGTTGTTTGACCAAAAACTGGGGAACGGTGAACAAGATAGATTTTTTAATAATTAAAAACTGGGGGAAAGGGGCATAACTGCCCATTTTTACACCTTTTCCCCCAGTTTTTATATATTCAAAAATCTGTATCTCATTCACCGCTACTCAGTTTTTGATCAAAATACTTTTTTCTGTCTTAGAAAAATCAGTTCTACAACTTATCAATTTTTTTTCCTCCGGAGCCTGACTTTAAGTGTAAAATTATAACAGGTAAATAGAATGGCCAAATAACATTACTAATGTGATTATACATTTTATTGTGGATAAAACTTCATGACTTCAGCATATTTGCAATACAGCGAAATAATATTAAATATTGGTTGGAATTAATTAAAGTGTACTGTATTTTCAATAGGGAAGTAGTTTGTTTCAGTGCAAAACACCAGTTGGAATTCAGAGACAGAATCAGTAAGTTGTTGGACTAAAGTCTCCTATTGTAAACTGGCATAACTGTAGGCTGTCGTCTCCAACAGGTTTTTTTCTCCATCCAAGAGAAATCTACGGTATTCACAAGCCATGATGAGTCAACAACATGCAATAATATGTACTGATCCAACTACACAATTGTGTCCTCTTTGACCATGACGGGGAAGATTTAAACACTATTCCCTTATACAGGCCAAGGGTCAGTCCTATTTTTTTTCATGATGAAGTTGACTTTTCGTGTCATTTCTTGATTGTAGATTCGTCTTACATTTTCATACTGAAGTCGACGCCGTTTCTGACATGGCTTCTCATAGTACCGTCCACGTTTCACTTTCTCGACTATCCCATCTTTAACTATGGTACTGGAAGAGAGAATAAAATAAAGAAGTTACTCAGCAGGGTATTTTTATTTATAAAGCATGCGCATACTGTATGACTTGTAAATACACCGAATCTTCAAATCAGTGAGTGTCAGGGAGATACCAAATTTACAGCCTACAAACTTATACATACATATACTATGCATTAATTTCTCACAGAAATACTGTGATTGCAAAAACAACATGGATAAGACTAAAAAAAGAGATAGATAAGTTAACTAGGCCTACTATGGCTTGGTCTGTCTAGAGACGAGAGGCCCGAGGCCTATCACAGCCTTGCCCTGAGGACGCCTACCTAGTCTGTACAGTAAGCTAAGATAAGAAGTAGGACTAGGGCCTAGCTCTACACGGTAAATTTCTGCTGAATTAACCTATTCAGAGTTCTGTAGGCAGCATCAACATCTCCATTTTTAACAAACACTGTTCTTGCCACAAATTTCAAATGCCTAGCCATTCTGCAAGCTGCTTCTTCTGTAGCTTGGTTGCACTCAAAACAAAAATATTAACGAAAAAGACAAGCGTGTGCATCCATCATGCACGTCACATACAGTAATAAAAATAATTCTTCTGAACAACCGCCCTCTCACGGCCAAACTATAGAATTAGGAGGAATGGTGAAATATCTCAAGGAACTTCTTGATAATGAATGATTCGTAAATCACAGCCGTAAAACCTAGAATTAAGCCCAGTGGGCTTAATCTCGAGAAGAAGCCCATCTCGAAAATAAACCCTCCCTGGGGCAGATGCAGGGGGGGGGGGTGTATAAACGGTGCGATTGCAACCCCCTAAATTGTAGTAAGAAAAATAATTGTATTATAATTATTATTGTTGATCACGAATAACCGGTAAGATTTTTAAGGTACCGATATTAGAGTGCAATTTCCGCGCACCTGAGAGGTCCATATTCTCAAAATTTTCTCACATCAGCCCCAACCATTGTGGGGCTGAGGTGCTGTGGACTTTCAAGCACTCCCTACCGCCAAATCCTGCATCCGCCCCATCCCCTTCTTTAGTTTGCAAAAGTTTCTGTAACATCAAGGAAACCTATCTCGAAAAGAAGTTCATGGACATTCAGACTGAAGATGTTATCTTATAATCGAAACGGTAATTGGTTTAGTCAACAGGATTTTGTGCATCATCAAATTATTTTGTAGAAGTCGTTTAAAGAGAAAGTGTATGTTGAAGCTTACTCCGGCTATATACGGTAATTTATTAGAAGATTGAAAATTGTTAATGTAATTAACGTTGCAATTGTACACCCATTAAACTTTTTTATTTTATTGTAATATATTATATCAAAAGCTTGATTTTTATTGTATAAGTTATATGTAAATATTTAGTTTTCTAATAGATCGTCGTCATCGACATGTTTTGTTTCAGGCCCGTAGCCAGGGGGGGTTTTTATGGTTCGGGCGAACCCCCCTCTTCTAGCGAACCCCCCCCCCTCTCCCCTCTTCCCCTGGTTAATAATAGCTGAGATTTGATGCACATTTCAGAATTAATAATCGTTTTTAGTATCTTACTGAATATTTATTGTCTACCAAATTAAATATGAATTATATATAAATCTTTAGAAATACAATTTCTACAATATTAATCTTGTTTTTATATAGATAAATGTTCGATAAATACTATCGTTCATAAAACAAACGAAATTCAGCGCGTCTATTTTCATTCCAATCATGGACCTATTAATAAGGTCCATGTTCCAATCAATGGCGTTTGTGAACATGTGCACTGACGTTATCGTTGAATCCCAGGACTTTCGACGGCAATGCTGGCCTGCCTGCCTAGGTCCCAGGCCAACCAAAAATAATTAACAAAATGTATTTTTTTAAATATAGGCCTATGGCGCATCCTAATACATGCACTTCAACTTTTACAACAAAAGCCTAGGCCTAGTAGTACACCCTACTGTACTTAAGCCTAGGCCTACACTAGTTCTGTCTCTTATACACATCTAGATGTGTATAAGAGACAGCTCCTAAATTGTAGTAAGAAAAATAATTGTATTGTAATTATTATTGTTGATCACGAATAACCGGTAAGATTTTTAAGGTACCGATATTAGAGTGCAATTTCCGCGCACCTGAGAGGTCCATATTCTCAAAATTTCTCACATCAGCCCCAACCATTGTGGGGCTGAGGTGCTGTGGACTTTCAAGCACTCCCTACCGCCAAATCCTGCATCGCCCCATCCCCTTCTTTAGTTTGCAAAAGTTTCTGTAACATCAAGGAAGCCTATCTCGAAAAGAAGTTCATGGACATTGAGACTGAAGATGTTATCTTATAATCGAAACGGTAATTGGTTTAGTCAACAGGATTTTGTGCATCATCAAATTATTTTGTAGAAGTCGTTTAAAGAGAAAGTGTATGTTGAAGCTTACTCCGGCTATATACGGTAATTTATTAGAAGATTGAAAATTGTTAATGTAATTAACGTTGCAATTGTACACCCATTAAACTTTTTTATTTTATTGTAATATATTATATCAAAAGCTTTGATTTTTATTGTATAAGTCATATGTAAATATTTAGTTTTCTAATAGATCGTCGTCATCGGCATGTTTTGTTTATAGGCGTAATTGAAAAAAAAATTAGAGTTTCTATTTCCATGGTTAAGTATGTCGTCAGTAGTGTACCACTGCCATTTCCCACTGATAGCCCTATATCGTAAATGAATGTGGAGAGGGCTCAAGTTAAATTTAATATATCCGGATTAGAACTGTTGTAAAACGTTCAAATTCACACAAAATTCAACAAAAACGGGCTTGATAACAATTAAGAACGGACCTATGTTTCACGAAACCTAGACAAAAACGATGAGTCTGAGCTGTTTGTGGGACAGAATTGTTCTGGAAGACAAATTATCTGATAACATACCTATTTTCTCTATGGTTATACATCACAGAATGCAGCATGCAGGATTGGCAGGAGCGCATTTCCGTACGTGGTCCCGATCCCAAACCTCTCGTACCGTATATCCCCTCTTCCCAGCTAGGCACTCCTCTTTTTCTCGATCCATTTTAATAACAGTAGTGGCGCCAGGATTAACCGATGGGGAAAGCGGGGTGGGGGGGGGGGGGGGGGGGGGGGGCAGGTGCGCGACGTCCCCGACGAAATATTCCAGGGGTCGAAGGTCCCGAAAAATATGACAATTTAGGAGTTTCAAAGGCTTATTTAATCGATTTTACAGTCTGCTAATAGTATATGTAAAAATATATAATTATTATATACATTTGTTTTCTCCCTGACGAATTATTTCTTCCGCGCCACCCTGCTACGTTGTTGTGCGTAATAATGTTGATGTTCCATTAGTTTTGTTTACAGTCATTTCGGGGGTGTTATTCCAGAAAAAAATAAACGACCCCGGCGTTTATTAGACGGAGGCGTTTATTCAAATGGGGCTCCGGATGGGACGTTTATTCAGAGAGGGAGTGTTTATCGGAATAAATACGGTATATGGATACAAATTCCAAAAGAAGAGATGAATAATTGCGGATGTCTGTGTTGTCTTTTTCTCTTTATTTTATTTTATTTTTTGCTTTTTGCGGTATTCTTCCTATGCAGCACGTCGGGCTTGTTAATAAATTGCAATTTAGGTTTTACTGTACAATAAAGCCTTTTATTTATTTTTCATTAATTTTTAATTGAATATGAGCGAATTTAAATAGCCTACATATTTTGTCCATTTCATTCGTATTCCTGTATTTTTTTTTTTAGGAGTGCTGGTTCCTGCGCACTGCGGTCCCACTTTCTGTCATTAATGACAATTTGCGCGAACCTTGAAGATATCAACTTGCTGAGAAAATTTAATTGTCCATTTCATTCGTATTCCTGTATTCATTTATATAAAATACCAAATAAAATGTAACAGTATGACACCACCCAAATCTGAGACAACTACAGTAGAACCCCTCCTTTGGGACACCCCTATTAAGGGGACTCTTCTCCGTGAAACGAGGGGCGGTATACCTTTTACACTGGCCAACCCCTATTAAGGGGACACTCCTATTAATGGGAAAGGGACACTCTCTGAGTGTGCTAAATGGTCAAATAACCCCTATTAAAGGGAAAATTATTTTTTTCATTGTATCACAACAACTGCAACAGTCTCTAAATAAGAAAATTTATTCAACTTTATATTTTAACACATTTTAAGCAATAAACCAGAATTTTCTCCCCTGAATCCTTATTGTGAGCATCTGTATAGGCCTACTTCATGTATTATTTCGTATAAACCAATCTTGTCAATTTTTACCCTTAACCACGTGTATCTTTTTCTTTGTTTTTCGTATGTACTTTCATATCTATAGGATCCTAATCCATACAATAACATGCACTCTTAATTCCAAGTTGTTATTCTATTCATGCTACATCCAATAGAAATAAGCTCAATATTAAAAAAAAAAGAAAAAAAAAAAGGCAGAATTTAGTCACTATTATTGCATCATGAAATAATATTGGGAACATACTGTAAATTTATTGTTGTTTTAATTACATTTCTGTTTATTGTATATTATAAATGAATTGTATTTGCAATGCAAATTTTTGCAAATAACTAGTTCTAATTGTACTGTAACTATATGTTAATAAAAATAAAATTATAAAGAATGTTATGACATTGTTATATGAAAACATGCCAAAAAGCCCCTATTAAGGGGACAATTTCAGTTTTTAGGTTAGTGTCCCCTTAATAGGCGTAGGCCTACCCCTATTCAGGGGACACCCCTATTAAGGGGACACTTTTTTTATTCAACTTGACCCAAATCGATTAAACTTTTAGTTTTAAAGAGAGTGTTAATTGGTTCCTGCATGCGCCTGCGCACTGCTGTCCCACTTTCCGTCATTCTTGACAATTTGCGCGAAGCTCGAAGACAGTTCTTGCTGGCTGGATTGATTCATCACAACAGGGTACCAAAATGGTTTGTATTCATTTTCTTTTTATTAAAACTTATATTTGTAAGGAAATATTACATGATTTTGTACTCGATATGTTATCGCGACTGTATGCAAATCACGCTACTGTACAGTACCATTATTTATAGTTAGGCTAGGCTCTAGTTTGGAGTATGCCTAGGCCTAGTAGTAGTAGTAGGCCTACTAGGTCATTGATTGATTAAGTGGTATTTACTTTCCTAAAGCCTAAGGCTAAAGGCTAGCCTGCCTGGGTCAAGACAGGTAGGTACGGTATTCACTACTAATGTACGTGGACACAAGTTAGTGCATTCATGCAGACCCACAATATAATGCATCAATTGGCATACCAAGATTCGTTAAGTTAATTCTTTATTCAAATTATTCATGCTTTATCGGCCTTGAACTCAAAAGTCTTTCTTAACAGTAATTAATTTAGATCCCTGATTGATTATGATTGATTAGGCCTAGGCTAAGTTGAATCATAGACATAGAGAAAATAGTTCTGATTCTCTATGGTTGAATTAATTTCACATGAACGGTAAACTAGCCTAACTAAATTAGCTAGGGCCTAGGCCTGGCTTACTTGATTAGCTCAGTAAGTTGATATATTAGTTAATATGCATGTAAAATGAGTTTAT